AGTTTCAGGCACTCACTGAGGGTCTTGGAACCATATCCCCTGCAGATAAGGCAGTGGGGCCGGGGGAGGACTACAGTACAAATTTTAGAATAATTTTACCAATTAAAAATAAAAAAAAATGCTGGTATTTTGACTGGGGTGGCACTGAATCTGTAGATACTTTGGGGAAGATTGACTAAAGATACTGAGTTTCCAACCCACAGCCATGGTATTTCCATTTATTTAAATCTTGTCTAACTTCTCTCAGCAATGTTTTGCAGTTTTCCATATAAAAGTCTTTCATATCTTTTATTACACTACTCCTAAGTATTTTGTATTCTTTGATATTATTATAAACTGTATTTTTGTTTCATTTTACAATTGTACATTGCTCATATAAATTGTTGCTTTATTTATGGCCAATTGATTTTTTTTTTAAGATTTTACTTATTTGACAGAGAGAGAGAGAGAGCAGTAGAGGGAAAGGGAGAAGTAGACTCCCCACTAAACAGGAAGAAAGATGTGGGACTTGAACCCAGGACCCCGGGATCATGACCTGACCCGGAGGCAGATGCTTAACCGACTGAGCCACCCAGGCACCCCATGGTCAATTGATTTTTTTTTTTTTATAAAAGTGCCAAAGCACCTACTGTAGATGAAAGTCTTTTTTTAACAAAAAGTACTGGAGCAACTGAGTATCTGTGTGAGGGGAACACACACACACACACACAAAATAAAAAAAAAAACAAACCAGAAACCTCAACCTGTACTTTATCCCATACACAAATATTAATTCTAGGTGAATCACATACCTAAGTTAAAAGCTAAGACTATCAAGCATCTGGAAGAAAACAGGATTTTTTATATAATCTTTAATCATTGAGCTGCGTTTAGTTCTGTATTAAAGAACGTAATCTGTATGATGTAAGTCTGTTGATAGTTACTGAATCTTATGATTCAGCATGTGGTCTATTGTAATGTTTCCTATATAATAGACAAGGAAGTATGTTCTGTGGTAGAGAGTGTACAGAGAGTATCATTAAATAAATATCAAGTAGGTAAAGTTGGTTGATAGTATTGTTTAAATCTTTGGCATTCAGGGCTTTTCAGATTTTAATCCATCCAGAAAAGTCCTAAGTATCATTGTAGGCTCTCATTTCTCTTTATCTCCATGGTCTCTTCATCTATATTCCTTCATCCTCATCCCTATAACATGCACTGCACTTAGGTATGGAAAGTCACACAGTGATCTGTTCACTTAAAAGGGGGTTATTTCCATCAGAAATTCAGTTCAATGCTTCTTTGTCTCCATCACTCTTAGATAGTCCCATATAAAAGTATGATTTTTATCTTGTCAAGGTTTTTCTTGCAGTCATGGCAGTGAAGGTTTTTCATATTCGTCTACGCTCTAATTGCAATCAAAGTTCAAATTCTATGTTGAATAAGCTCCTTCCCACCTCCCACTACACCCTTACACTAATATGCATGGCAGTAATTGCATTCATTGACTTTGTTTAAAGACTCTTCAAGTGAGAAGTAGACAGGATATAAATGGATGAATGCAGTGCTTTTGCAGCAGGTAGGATAACTCTTTTTATTTATAAAATAAATCCCATTCTGTCAAATACCGCTAAGAACAAGAATTGTGCATTTAGAAGGCATTGGGGCTTGATAGTATATTTTCACTTATAGTGCTTTAGTTATTTGAACTCTAGAAATTCCATGTCAATTATCTTGTGTTGTATTCCAAGAATTCCTTGCTGTCCCAATCCATTTGGTTCCTGAGCTTCTGATACTAAGAGATACGATGTTATCTAAATCAATTTGATTTTCGTTTCAGAAAGCAAATAGCGAGTTTGGATAAGGGTTTATCAGAAACATTTTGTTCCTAAATCCAAATTGTGACAGGTATTTATTTTCTTTCAATAGATGACTAGATTTGATGTGCGCATTTATAACATTGCATGTTTTCATAACCAATTCTGGGCATATTATCTTTTTGTGTTCTTTTAGCAAGTTTTAACATTAGGATTATAGGGGCGCCGGGGTGGCTCAGTCGTTAAGCATCTGCCTTCGGCTCGGGTCATGATCCCAGGGTCCTGGGATCCAGCCCCGCATTGGGCTCCCTGCTCAGCGGGAAGCCTGCTTCTCCCTCTCCCACTCCCTCTGCTTGTGTTCCCTCTCTCGCTGTGTCTCTGTCAAAAAATAAATAAAATCTTTAAAAAGAAATACTGATTAACATTAGGATTATAAATTCATAGAAATAGATAAGTTGCTGTCTCAGTCTGTGTCCTGAAAGAGTTCCTAAAACATTTCATAGATTTCATCTATTATTTGCTGTCTCCCTTAATATAGCTGTGTGGCATTTGAAGTAATTTTGGTGTAATTTAAAAATGTTCCTTTTGGAGGGGAATCTATTAAGATTTTACACCTCTGCTGTAGTCAATTCTGTGTCAGTTCAATTTCTTTATAAAAATCCCATACGTGGGGCACCTGGGTGGCTCAGTCATTAAGCGTCTGCCTTAGGCTCAGGTCATGATCCCAGGGTCCTGGGATGGAGCCCCCCATCAGGCCTCCTGCTCAGCGGGAAGCCTGCTTCTCCCTCTCCCACTCCCCCTGCTTGTGTTCGCTCTCTCACTGTGTCTCTCTCTCTCTCTAATAAATAAATAAATAAACAAACAAACAAACAAACAAACAAAATAAAAATCCCATACTTTGTCCAGATTCTCAGATATGGTATAAAAATACCTATAGTACTTTTTTTTAATTGTGATAAAATTCATATACTATTATATTCTTTTTAAAGTATACTGTTCAGTGGTTTTTAGTACATATTCACAAAGTTGTGCAACCTACACCACAAATCTCAGAACACTGTCATTAACCAAAAAGATAAAATCCTTTTAATTACATATGTAGTTGTTTCAATTTCACAATCCTGTTCATCTATCATCCTTACTTCCCCAAACAAATGACTAAGGTGTGTCTACTTTTTTTTTCTGTCAAATAATCAAATTTTCTATTTCAGCTTGTTTACTTTTTTCATTTATTTCTGTATAATAATGGCTTTCTCTACCCACATTTTAGGCTTATTTTTGCTTATTTAAGCTCCTTGAGTTCTATATTGAGTTTATTAATGACCTGTCTAGTATTTTAATATATACATGCAAACTGGTTTATAAAACTTCCAATACAACCTGCCATTCACAGGTTTTTCAATTGTGTTTTCATTCACATTTAAGTAATATGTATATTAAGGACTTAGTTCCCTGACCCATGTTAATCAATAGGGAGCACGGACTTAAATTTTGGATATTTGATGGCTATCCTATTGTTACTGTTTTCTACATTCTGGTCAAACACTGTGGCCTGTATATTTTCTGGTTTTGGCGGGGGGGTGGGGGGGACTAGTTATTAGGAAAAATATTATCTCTTCCTATTTTTTGACAGCTGTGCTTTCAACTACTCATCATTATATCCACAGGGTTTCAGACTGGCATTAATCTTCTGTGCAAGCATAGAAGATCAAGTCTGAAGAAAGACTATTCACAAATTCTTTTTTTTCCTTTTAAAATTCCATGATGAATAATGAGTGATGAGAAAAGCTTTCCTAGGGGCGCCTGGGTGGCTCAGTCGGTTAAAAAGGTTGCCTTCAGCTCAGGTTATGATCCTGGAGTCCCAGGATTGAGCCCCACATCGGGCTCCCTGCTCAGCAGGGAGCCTGCTTCTCCCTCTGCCCCTCACCCTGCTTGTGCTCTCTCTCTCAAATAATTAAAATAAAAATCTTAAAAAAAAAGAAAAGCTTTCCTATACTAATTACGTTCATTTCTCTCTTTTTTTTCATTAGGAATTCTTTGATTTAGACAAAGGTAAGCAACATGGCTAAAATCCTTTCCACAAATAGGAGCGCCTGGCTGGCTCAGTCGGAAGAGTGTGTGTCTCTTGATTTTAGGGTCATGAGTTCAAATCCCACATTGGGTATAGAGATTACTTAAATAAACTTAACCAACTGAGCCACCCAGGCGCCCGAGATTATTTAAAAAAACTTAAAAAAAATCCTTTCCACAAATAATAATGAAGATAACTATGAAAATGAGTACAATGATAATAGTGGACAACTTTTACTAAACATTTACTATGTAACAGGAATAGTTCTAAGCACTTTACATTTATTAATTCATTGAATCCTCACAACAAATGAATACATACAGCATGATTATCTTTAATAATATATAAGAAATAAATTGCCACTAACATATAAGAGTAAAAAGTAAAAACAAAACAAAACTAGAAGGATAAACAACACTTTGATAACAGTGGTTCATTTTCTTTCTAGTATGAGATGGGGGTGGATAAAAAGGAACAAAACAGTTTACAGGGAGAAAATGTGCATAATTTCAGCAATAAATAGGTTTTTTTTTTTTTTTTTTAAGATTTTATTTATTTGACAGAGAGAGCCACAGCGAGAGAGGGAACACAAGCAGGGGGAGCGGGAGAGGAAGCAGCAGGCTTCCCGCGGAGCGGGGAGCCCGATGCGGGGCTCGATCCCAGGACCCTGGGATCATGACCCGAGCCGAAGGCAGATGCTTAACGACTGAGCCACCCAGGCGCCCCAATAAATAGATGTTTTAAAAGAAAGAAACAAACATTCAAAGATAAATTTGGGGTCATAGTATTCAGGGCATATTTCATAACTGCAAATGTTTAGATGCAAACAGAACATGAGTAATAAAGTCGTTTTGAAAAGTCATTAAGTATATATAACTCATTTAAAAAATCTATATTTATTGAAATGGCAACCGTATTTTTTGGCATGACCAAAACAGGTGAAGGGATAATATGCATGCATACCATGACTTTAAAAACAAAGTCTGGGAGGTTTGCTCTATCAACTTAAGAGTAGTCAGCTTAAGAGTAGTTGCTATGATTACTGTTAAACTTGGTTTTTAGTTGCTGGTTTTCTGATTTTCTGTTTTATATAAGAAAATACAAATTTGTGAAATGAAACACAAGATTAATACTGACTTCAAAAACAAGGTTATAATTCTACAATTAAAAAATACAAAATCACAAATTTTAAACAGTGTGATACTGATGTAAGCACAAATACATAGATCAGAGAAGAAAAAAATACAAGCAAACATAAACAAGAATATAATGTCTCACCAAGAAGGTAGAATGAAATAATAGGCAAGAGAAGAATTATTGAACTGCCCTTAGTACAAGATTGGGGAACGGGGATGGGTAAATGTCAATTTAGAATCTTAATTCATAACTTAGAGTGAAAAACATTTGAATTAAAAAGAAATATAAAATAAAATTTAAAAACAAAAAATAGTGAAAGCGTAACTATCAAATGTGAATTTTTTTTGTTTAAAATATTAGGAAGGTAACAGGAGCTTTAACTTTTGTTACTCATCAGTGTGAATTCCCTGGTGACGAATGAGATCTGAGCCACTACTAAATGCCTTCCCGCATTCCTTACAGTTATAGGGCTTTTCACCAGTATGAATTCTCAGATGTCGCGTAAGGTTTGAACATTTATTAAAGGCCTTTCCACATTCACTACATTCATACGGTTTTTCATCTGTATGTATTCTCTGATGTTGAAAAAGTTGTGAGTTCTGAGTAAAGGCCTTCCCACATTCAAGACATTCAAAGGGTTTCTCACCAGCATGAATTCTCTGATGTTGACGAAGTTGTGAGCTCTGAGTAAAAGCTTTCCCACATTCCTTACAATCATAGGGTTTCTCCCCAGTGTGAATTCTCTGATGATTAGTAAGCGCCGAGCCACTACTAAAGGCTTTGCCACATTCCTTGCACTCATAGGGTTTTTCACCAGTATGAATTCTCTGATGCTGAACAAGCTTTGAGCTCTGAGTAAAAGCTTTGCCACATTCTTTACATTCATAGGGTTTCTCACCTGTATGAATTCTCACATGTTGAAAAAGTTGTGAGCTCTTAGTAAAGGCTTTCCCACATACTTTACATTCATAGGGTTTTTCACCAGTGTGAATTCTCTGATGGTCAATAAGATTTGAGCAATAGCTAAAGGCCTTCCCACATTCCTTACATTCATAGGGCTTCTTACCAGTATGAATTCTCTGATGCTGAGAAAGGTATGAGCTACAACTGAAAGCCTTGCCACATTCCTTACATTCAAAGGGTTTTTCACCAGTATGAATTTTCAGATGTCGAGTAACATGGGAGCCACAGCTAAAGAATTTCCCACACTCCTTACATTCATAAGATTTTTCACCAATATGAATTCTCTGATGTTGAATAAACTGTGAATTCTGACTAAAGACCTTTCCACATTTCTTACATTCATAGGGTTTCTCTTCATTGTTAATTATTTGCTGTAGAGTAAAGAATGTCTGTTGAATAAATGTGGGCATGTATTCATGAGTGAATATTTCTTGGCTGAAATGCCCACTTTGATATCCCAGTTGTTTTTCAAAGTGGTTTCTATATTCCAAAATGTCTCTAAAACTGGAGTACTCAAGGCCATGCTTTGTAAGCCCCATTATCTCCCTCTGGCAAGATTCTATTTCATAAACTTCCTTCTTCAGAGACAGTAACTTGGTTTCACACATTGATTCCAGATCTGAAAGAAAATGAAATGTTAAATATTCTTACTACCCCACTCCCACCACCCATTTATGAAAACTTAAACTTCTATAATAGAAATGGAAAAATTAAAGTGAAAAGAGTATCTGTTGGTAAATGACATACAGTTCTCAAGTGTATCTGTTTAACCTGAAAATAGACCCCAAAACTGCACTGAAATTAATGAGATATAATGCAGAATGTGAGGGAGGAGACTACAGAAAAAGGAAACCACAACGATTCTCAAATATTGATGTGGATCAGAATCATAAGGAAAGGACGGTAAATACACACTACTGGGCATATGAAAAGATGACAAGTCCTATATACATCTATATAAGCATGCATGTATGAACACGTAAGAAACTATCATACTATACGTATCACAAAAAGTGGATAATTTGCTGACCTCCATTAAAGGTTTCTGGAGAGGAACAAATGCACATGGGGAAGATTTCTGGGCTCTGTAGTATGATAAAGAATAAATTTGGTCTTTGTCCTTGGTTTCTAACACAGAGCTTCAAAAACCCTTGGAACTCCCTGAGTGATAGGAATGTTTTTTGCTATGCCAATGAGGTGATTCACAGCAGATCCCTAGATAGCTGCAGGATGGGGACTGGTCACCAGAAAGACCTAGCATGTTATTAGAGGGTTGAGACCTTCAGCTACTGGCCTTCTGGGGAGGAGAGAAGAGCCAGAGATTGAGTGGCCAATGACTCACTCAATCATGGCAGTGTGAGTAAATCCCAATAAAAACTCTGTACACCAAAGCTCAGTGGACCTTTCTGGTTGGTGAACACACCAACATGAAAGACGGTGTACTTCAGTTTTACTCTGAAGGATACATTTAGACCTTGCCCTAAAATGTATCCTTCAGAGTAAAACTGCAATTATAAGTATAAAGCTTTCTAGAGTTCTGTAAATCATTCTAGCAAATTATTGAACTTGCAGGAGCTGTGGAAATCCCCAAATTTATAGCCAGTTGCTCAGAACTGTAAGTGTCTAAGAACTCTGAGACCTGCAGCTGGCATCTAAAAATGAGGGCAGGGACGCCTGGGTGGCTCAGTCAGTGAAGCGTCTGCCTTTGGCCCAGGTCATGATCCCAGGGTCCTGGGATCGAACTCAGTGGGGAGTCTGCTTCTCCCTCTCCCCCCACTCGTGCTTGCTCTCTCTCTCTCTCAAATAAATATATAAAATCTTTTAAAAAGTAAAATAAAATAAAGCGAGGGCAGTCTTGCGTACAACTCTGCTATTAATCTGTAGGGTCTATGCTAACTCTGGGCAGTTAGGGTCAGAACTGCAGCACTCCCAGTTGTGATAAAAACTGAATAGGTTCCAAAGTAAGGATAGACTGGCCGAAATTTGGAAGAGATTACAGAGGGCTAGCCACAAGGGGCCAGAGCCTAGAGTCAGTCTAAGGTATTAAACTAAATTGATGTGAGTAGTCGATAGGGAAGACTCAGAATATGTTCTGTTCTGGTGATTCAGTAAAAATACTGTTTGCCTTGGAATTTTGTGATGCTGATCTTGGGAGAAGAGACTTACTCATGTACCACTGCAGTGGCTGAAAAGGAGGCAGCTAACGTTTAAGGCAAACAGGAAGAAAATAAGACACAGTGCAAAGTACTGTCATGGAAAAATGACAAGTGGAAGCAAGCTGATAGAGTGGAACTCCAACTCACAGTCACTCACTGTATGTTCCTGGGCAGTTATTTAACCTAAGTCCTCATTTCCTCATCTGCAAAAGGGAGATCATCTTTACCTTATGATTCCTGGGAGGGAAAGGAATAATGCCTGTAAATGTCTTTGAGTCAAGTGTTCAGTATTTGATAGCTATTATTACGAAAGAATTTCTTACCAAAAATGGGGATTTTAGGCAAATTAAATGGTTTGAAGACATCAAAATGGAGCCTACTGGAACAACTCAAGCCAGAAACAAGGAATTCTTTCTAGCATAATCTTTTTTCTCCTCTCCCCATAGAATATTTCAGCAACTTCCATAGAGTTAAGCTCCTAAGTAACTTTTAAAACTATCCACTTCTATGTCCACTGCCAATGGCCTCTCTTCCAAACCAGAATCATCTCTTACTCAGGCCACTGAGGTAGCCTCCCAACCCATCTCCCCACCAAGTTCTCCCACTCTTTAATCTATTCAGCAACCAAAATTAATGTGGCCTAGCCTTCCACTGCTCGAAACCAAACTCCTCACACTCACTGGCAAAGACCAACTGATCTCCAATCCTGACTCACACTCGATGCTTGCTTGCTCACCAGCCCAGTAACCCTCCCTTTCTTTCAGTTCTTCAAACACACCAAGCTTTCCCCTCCTAGAAGGGCCTTCGCAGGGGTTCTTCCCTCCACTTGGAGTTTTCTTTTCTTTTTTTTTTTTAAGATTTTATTCATTTATTTGAGAGAGAGAGAGCACGAGTGGGGGCGGGGGCAAAGGGAGAGGGAGAAGCAGCCTCCCCACTGACTGGGGAGGCCGATGTGGGCCTCAATCCCAGGACCCTGGATTCATGACCTGAGCCGAAGGCAGACACAACCGACTGAGCCACCCAGGCACCCTAGAGTTTTCTTAATACATTAAATAGTAAGACCTAATACTGAGCCTAGTACTATAGTAATTCTGAAATACTGATGAGAACAAATAATTTTTCAATATGTCTACCTTAACAGTAAGATGATATGAAAATATCTGTGATTTCCATTCATGTCAAAGTCACAGGAACTATACAATACTGCTATGGTTTGTTCCATACACCACAGTAGGAAGATATGCAATTTTCAATTTGAGGTTAGTTAAATATAAAGTATTTTTTCCTTCTCTTTCAAGCTCATGGACTCCCTAAATTTTATTCCAAAGAATCCAAAATTAGCAACCTCCTTAAAAACATGATGTCACTCCTCCACTCAAATCATCTCATTCAGAATAGAATTCAAAGCCCATACCAAGGCCCACAAGGCCCCAAATCATCTGCAGGCACACCCCACCTCTCACGTGCACCTAGCACACAAACACACGTACATCCTGCTACTTTGCCGATCTCCTTTCCCACAAGTCCCTCTTTGCTTCTTCTGTTCCAACCACAATGGTAGATGCCAAAAAGCTCCTAATTCAGGGACTTTGTTCTTCCTTTCCTTCTGCCTGAATCTCTTCTACCAGATATTTACAACACTTGTTCCCTCGCTTCCTTCAGGTTTTGGTTAAATTATCACCTCATCAAAGAGGCCTTCTCTAACCTCCCTTCATATCACTTACCACCATCTGACATTGTAAACATATCTATTTTTTCTCTCTCACCTTCTAGAACATAGGCTCCAGAGGAGCAAAACTCTGAATGTTTTATTCAATGCTGTACTCCCAGCATTGGTCCCACTGGGACCAATACTTACTATACAGTAATGCTCTTCTGGAGCATTTAGGATAAGGTAAACACTTTATCCTAAATCTCGACTCCTCTGACACCTCTTCCTTTCCATTATAGGCCTTTTCATCTTCCCCAACACTGTCATCATAGAAGGTGACTGCAATCACTTGCAAAACTCCCAACTATTCAGTATGGATTTTCCACTTCTGCATATTTAGCCACTGACTTTCTGCTAAGCCCCCTGATTCTCCTTACTAGATTCTACTTTGTGGAAATTATTCATGGATATATTTTAGCACTACTTTTTGACTTCCAAGTTCTTTTTTTTTTTTAAGATTTTATTTATTCATTTGACAGAGAGAGACAAAGTGAGAGAAGGAACACACGCAGGGGGAGTGGGAGAGGGAGAAGCAGGCTTCCCGGCGAGCAGGGAGCCCGATGCGGGGCTCGATCCCAGGACTCTGGGATCATGACCCAAGCTGAAGGCAGACGCTTAATGACTGAGCCACCCAGGCACCCCTGACTCCCAAGTTCTTAATAGGTGACATGATTAGCAAATGACAGCACCTGGCAGGCTCTCTTGCACAAATCAGTAAATGAAAAACACTGGGTAAAGAAATAATGCACAACAAACTGATAAAACAAGTCACTGGCAAGTAATATTCATGATCAGTACTTGGAGGAGGGGCTGTGCATACACATATGTATGCATGCACACACAGGAAACATTTAAGAGGAAGAAAAGCCAACAAGGAACTAAATCTAAAATATGGGCAAAAGAGTTTTATTGGAGGGGAAGCGAAGGGCTCACCCTACTTGAAATTACGAGGGTTGTTGGAGAAGAGTAGCAGAAAGAGTAGTGAGAGAAGGAATGAAACAGGTTGTTTGTAAACTCACGCTAAGAGGACTTGGTTTTTCCAACAAGCTTAGATAACATCTCAAAGGTGCTGAGTTTACCTGTAATGCCTTGCTCCTGCCCAATCATTTCTCACTCACCTGAACACAGGCCTCTTGTCAGCTCTCTGCCAACCATCCAGGGCTCTTTTCCTTGTTCCAATAAGGAGATAACTTGAGGCTTAGGAATGTAAAGTCCTGCTCACAAGAAAAGATATGGGACATGGTTACACTGTGGGTAAACCAGATCCAGAAATCAGATCCAGTCCCTTGATGACAAAAGAGGAGATGCCACTACAGGAACAGCCAAAGAAAGAGGATGAAGCTTCTGCCACAGTCACTGGAGTTGCCCATTTCCAACTCTTCCTTTTCATTGCAGCTCAAACCACTTATTTGGGAATAGGGAGCAGAAATTCAGCCGGTAACTTGAAAATCAGCTGGGAAATTCACTGTGGAAGAAACATTCCAGAGAAGAACTCTAAATTACTGGTATAGAAGTCCTTACCCATTGACAGCAGATTGCTATAGTTCTCCAACATCACATCTCTGTACAAGTCCCTCTGACCAGGGTCCAGGCACTCCCACTCCTCCTGTGAGAAGTCTATAGACACATCACTGAACACCACTGATCCCTGAAACAATAAACATATGTATTACTTGTGTAATAAAAGAAGTAATTCAGAGACTATTGCACTTGTATTGTGGGGTAAAGCAAATGAGGGACTGTATTGGTATCACTCAGAATCAGTACCTTTGGATCTTAAAAATAGATGCAAGAGTAATTAGTTTATTTTATAATAACATATCTAGAGGGTGCCTGGCTGGCTCAGTTGGTAGAGTATGTGACTCTTGATCCTGGGGTTTTAAGTTTGAGCCCTATGTTGGGTGTAGAGGTTACACCCAAAAATAAAATCTTAAAGAAAATCTATGAATAAACTTAACCAAAGATGTGAAAGACCCATGCTCTGGAAACTATAAACACTGATGAAAGAAATTGCAGACAGACAACATAAATAAATGGAGACATTCCATGCTCATGGACTGGAAGAACAAATACTGTTAAAATGTCTATAGTATCCAGGGGTGCCTGGGTGGCTCAGTTGTTAAGTGGCTGCCTCCAGCTCAGGTCATGTTCCCAGGGTCCTGGGATTGAGCCCCGCATCGGGCTCTCTGCTCAGTGGGAGGCCTGCTTCTCCCTCTCCCAACCCCCCTGCTTGTGTTCCCTCTCTCGCTGTCTCTCTCTGTCTCTCTCTCTCTGTTAAATAAATAAATAAAAGCTTTTAAAAAAATGTCTACAGTATCCAAAGCAATCTACAGATTTAATGTAATCCCTATCAAAATACCAACAGTATTTTTCACAGAATTAAAATAAACATTCCTAAAGTTTGTATGGAACCACAAAAGGCTCAGAATAGCCAAAGCAATCTTGAAAAGGAAAAAAAACTGGAGGTATCACAATTCCAGACTTCAAGTTAAATTATAAAGCTGTAATAATCAAAACAATATGGAACGGGCACAAAATTAGACACATAGATCAACGGAACAGAATAGAAAGCCCAGAAATAAACCCAAAATTATGTGGCCAACCTTTGACAAAAGAGGAAAGAATATACAATGGGGAAAAGACAGTCTCTTCAATAAATGGTGTTGGGAAGACTCAAGATACACAAGATACACAAAAACAAACTCAAAATGAATTAAAGACCTAAACGTGAGACCTAAAACCATCAAAATCCTAGAAGAGATCACAGGCAGTAACTTCTCTGACATCGGCTATAACATCATCTTTCTAGATATGTCTCCTGAGACGAGGGAAATAAAAGAAAAAATAAACTATTGGGACTACATAAAAATAAAAAGTTTCTGCACAGCAAAGGAAACAACAAAACTAAAAGGCGGGGCGCCTGGGTGGCTCAGTTGATTGAGCGACTGCCTTCAGCTCGGGTCGTGATCCTGGAGTCCCGGGATCGAGTCCCACGTCAGGCTCCCTGCTCAGCAGGGAGTCTGCTTCTCCCTCTGACCCTCCTCCCTCTCATGTTCTCTGTCTCTCATTCTCTCTCTCGCAAATAAATAAATAAAATCTTAAAAAAAAACAAAACTAAAAGGCAACCTACTGAATGGGAGAAGATATTTGCAAATGACATATCTGATAAAGGGTTAGTCTCCAAAATATATAAAGGACTGATACAACTCAACACCCAAAACCAAATAATCCAATTATAAAATGGGCAAAAAACATGAATAGACATTCCTCCGAGGAAGACATACAGATGGCCAACAGACACACGAAAAGATGCTCAACATCACTCATCATCAGGGAAATGCAAATCAAAACCACAATGAGCTATCACCTCACACCTGTCAGAATGGCTAAAATGAACAACCAAGAAACAACAGGTGTTGGTGAGGATGTGGAGAACAAGGAATGTTCTTGCACTTGGTAGGAATGCAAACCGGTGCAGCCACTGTGGAAGACAGTTTGGAAGTTCCTCAGAAAATTAAAAATACAACTACCCTATGATCCAGTAATTGCATTACTGAATACTAATTCAAAGGGATACATGCACCCCTATGCTTATATAGCAGCATTATTTATAATACCCAAATTATGGAAGCAACCTAACTGTCCACTGATAGGTGAATGGATAAAGATGTGGTATTTATACAGACAATGGAATATTATTCAGCCATAAAAAGAAAGAAATCTTGCCATTGCAACAACATGGATGGATCTAGAGAGTATAATGCTAAGCAAAATAAGCAAGTCAGAGAAAGACAAATACCATATAATTTCACTCATAAGTCAAATTTAAAACATAAAACAAACCAACAAAGGAAAAAGAGAGAGACAAACAAACAAACAAAAAAGACTCTTTTTTTTTTAAAGATTTATTTATTTATTTATTTATTTGAGACAGAGAGAATGAGAGACAGAGAGCATGAGAGGGAGGAGGGTCAGAGGGAGAAGCAGACTCCCTGCCGAGCAGGGAGCCCGATGTGGGACTCGATCCCGGGACTCCAGGATCATGACCTGAGCCGGAGGCAGTCGCTTAACCAACTGAGCCACCCAGGCGCCCAAAAGACTCTTAACTATAGAGAAAAAACAGATGGTTAGCAGAGCAGAGGTGGTCGGGGGATGGGTGAAATAAATGAAGGGGATTAAGAGTACACTTATCTTGATGAATACTGAGTAATATATGGAATTGTTGAATCACTATATTGTACACCTGAAATGAATATAACATTGTATGTTAACTAGAACAAAAAGGTTAATCAGTTTATTTTATATTGAAAACAAACAATTTCCTGACTTTATCTATTGAAAAGGCCTACAAATAATAATTCATCCAGTAGGAATAAGTACCCCTAGTGTCTAGACTGTAGTCCCTAAGTATTATATTCAAATAAAAGGAACCAAGATCCTTTGGGGAAACAGATGATTTCAGGATTGAGTCAGAAATGCCAGGATGAGACTGAACATTCTGTTATATCAGAAAGCAAGAGAGCTATCAAAAACTACTAGAATCATGTTACATGAACTCAGGCACCAACTTGAAGAGCCTCTCAATGGCTAAAAATGGTATAATCTGAGGATTCAGTATAATGGACCTACAGGTAAAAAAATGTTTAAATCATGAGCTCCTAACAACAATGAATAAAAAACTACTGGTCACCTTTTTAGGATTCTAAGAAACCAACTCATTATTCAAATATTCTTTCCTAGACAGACTATCTTTCAGGGTAACCAAACAGTTGATGAGAAGTTTTACTTTATAAAGAGTATTTCAGGGGCGCCTGGGTGGCTGTTGGTTAGGCATCTGCCTTTGACTCAGGTCATGATCCCAGGGTCCTGGGATGGAGTCTCATATCGGGTTCCCTGCTCAGCGGGGAATCTGCTTCTCCCTCTCCCTCTGCCTCTCTCCCCAGCACTTCCTCTCTCTCAAATAAATAAAATCTTAAAAAAATATAAATAAAAAATAAAGAGTATTTCACCTAATCTATGAAGGAGGAATGACAATTAAAATATCATTCTGCAACCTCTAATCTAGACAGTAATCATCGATGGTGGATAACATTACAAAAAGAAAGAGTACCAGATATAATGTGTCTTCTGATGGAATCACATATCACCACGTGTGACATATTCATGACAAAAAAAAAAAAAAAAATCTCAACTGAATCTGACCAAGCATCTAGACTTAACTACCAATTTTCAGGAAACAGTTAAATGATGCCACAGAGATGCAATCAGCAAAATCCAAACAGTGGACAAATGAACCATTTTTTTTCTTTTCTAACAAAAACATACACAGAAAGAAAATAGATGGAAGGGGTACCTGCAAAATAAGAGACTCAAAAGACCTCAATGAACTGCAGTGCACAGTCCTTATTTGGATTCTAATTCAAATAAACAATTATTCAAAACTTGAACACTGGCTAGATATTGATGATATTAACAAATTATTTCTAACTTTTCTAGAGGCAATAATGGCATAATGGTTGTTTCCAAAAATAATCCTTGTCTTTTAGAAATACATACCAATTTGTATTTGCTTCAAAATAATCCTGTTTGTAGAAGTGAGGGCAGGGTAGTGTGCAAAAAAAAACCAGGTATCAGTATAAATGAAACAAGACTGACTCGGATTTGAAGCTGAATGGTGAGTATATGGTAGTTCATAACTCCTCTACTTTCCTATGTCTGAAATTTATTATTATAAAGTTTTTTTAAAGGGGGTTCGTATAGAATAGAATATCTGCAAGGCTCTACTCATATGAATAGCACTGATTTAAACAAAATTGTGATATAACTCTGTTGTGGGAAAAGGAAGTAGAGTGTGATATAGCAAATCTAAATCCACATATACCTTGCAAAAAAATAACTACAAAATGTCTAAAAATTTGGTTAATCAAGAAACAGCAATATAGGAATATTAATTAAAATAATGGATATATTCTATTGTAATCAGCTAAAAGAGATGCAGGTATCTCCCTTCAGGGATTATCCTTATTTCTGAGATAAAGAAAACTGGTGATTCATATGGAAATTCCTCATGACCCACACTTCCTGTCCAACTTCAAACTGAACTTCGTTCATGGATGCCCTAAAAGTCACAGAGATCTGTCGGGATCAGCTACCAAGCCCACAATCTTCCAAGCTCATAAACCAGGAGGTCTTGCAACAGTCTAACATTTGGAACTACCAATATCACTTCCTATACTATCTCACTGGTAAATACCGATCTGTAGAACAAACCCATGTTTGCTCCCAACTAAGCAACTTACACATCTCCACCTCATCAAATCACCATCTGGAAAGCATAAGTTCATTCTACAAATCTACTCTCATTTCCTTTCCATCATAGCTCCTGGGAGAGGGCTAAGAAAAGAGATGCCAGGTGAAAATATTAATGCTGGGTCAAAAAAAGAGGGCACTTAAGAATGGTAAAGAATTATCTGGTTAGCCTGAGAGGAAAAGGAGACTAAGGATCCTGAAGGGGAAACCTGATAGCCAAAGATGTCAGGAGTAGGAAAACAAACACTCAAACGACCATTTAAAAAAATTTTTTTTAAATTTGATACTAAATGTCAGGAAGGTAAGAAAAAGCATCAACTCACCTGGGCCATGGCTTTCAGTATTGCAGGAGAGGATCAGTCCTCCTTGGGGCTGTTTTCCTGAGAAAGGATAGTATTCTGAGAAAGCAGGACTGGGGAAGCAAAGAAATGCTCTAGAAACCACACTGGCTTTACAGCTTTCAGGTGACCACCCTGGGTCTTATGATGTAACTGTGGTCAGTGGGAGTATGGGATAAATCCTACTTCTTCAACCCCAGAAGCCCCAGGCTTTAGCTATAGTAAAATGGATCCTGGCTACTCGATTCAAAGGAATACAGACGCAGATTCCCTCTCCTTCATCTGATTAACCCAGGTTCTGGGTTAATCACTCAGCCAAGTGATTCCGGCCAGACCTTGTCCCACTTCAGTAAACCCAAGACAGAGCTTCTTTGACCTGCCTGAGGAGATCCCTCCTCTGCAGCCCTCACTCAGGTCCTCAAGCAAATTCACCCAAATGGTACCCTTTGTCCAGGACCCCAGTATGCTCTGATCAGAAGGACTAAGATTTCCCTAATGAAGTCTTCTCACTTCATTCATGGCCCAAGACAGTCTGTCAACTCCCATCCGCCCAGAACTCCCCACCTCAGCCTTACAGAGAAGCACTCCTCATTCTTACCCTATAGCTCTGTTTTTCTTAAAAAAAAAAAAAATAATAATAATAATAATAACTTTGCTTATATGTTTTTGCCATGCAAAACAAAGTGTCAACTTTTATAGCTTTGGGGTAAGAAGATTTTTCTTACCTATGCATATTTATATAAATTTATCGTTTAGGGACACCTGGGTGGCTCAGTCGTTAAGCGTCTGCCTTCAGCTCAGGTCATGATCCCAGGGTCCTGGGATCGAGCCCCACATCGGGCTCTCTGCTCAGCGGGAAGCCTGCTTCTCCCTCTCCCACTCCCCCTGCTTGTGTTCCCTCTCTTGCTATATCTCTCTCTGTCAAATAAATAAATAAAATCTTTAAAAAAAATTTTCTCTGTTTAATGCTTTGTCACACGTAGGTCTTTAATCAATTATTACTTTATTTTGGTAGAATATTAATTAACAAAACACTATAGTATAAAATTATAAGTTATAATTTTATTTCAGTATAATTTATGAGTTAGGAATCCTACTTAATTTCTCTCATAGGAGGCTGACTACCCAAGTGTACCAAAGTCACATGTGAATAATGTATCTCACTTAAAATGCACTATTATTTTATATGCCACTAAGAAAGATCAAAACTGTGTAAGATATTACCTGACTTCAGATACGTTGAAAAGGGGGGGGGGGCAGAGCCTTACCGCAGGTGACTACAGCATTGGTTTAAATGCCAAACCATTATCACAGATGATACATGTTTGGATTTACTGTGGTTCTATTTTGGTTCAGTGATCCATCTTTATTCTTTGGCCAGCATCACACTCTATTTATTGTAATTTATTTTTTATATATAATTTAAAAATATGTCAAAAATATATCTTATAATTTAAAAATATCTTTTTTTTAAGATTTTATTTATTTATTTGAGAGAGAGAGAGAGCACATGAGAGGGGGGAGGGTCAGAGGGAGAAGCAGACCCCCCGCCGAGCAGGGAGCCCGATGCGGGACTCGATCCAGGGACTCCAGGATCATGACCTGAGCCGAAAGCAGTCGCTTAACCAACTGAGCCACCCAGGCGCCCTAAAAATATGTCTTAATAAAAGACCGTTTCCATTACATACCTATTAGAATGGCCAAAGCCAGAACACTGACAACACGAAATGCTGGTGAGGAGCAACAGGATCTCTCGTTCATTGCTGGTGGGAATGCAAAATGGTACAGCCACTTTGGAAGACAGCTTGACAGTTTCTAACAAAACTAAACATACTTGGGGACCTGGGTGGCTCAGTCTGTTAAGCGTCAGCTCCCTACTTCTCCCTCCCTCTCTGTACTGTCTCTCTCTCAAATAAATAAATAAAATCTTTTAAAAAAAACCCAAAAAACTAAACATACTTTTATATGATCCAGCAATCATACTTTTTAGTATTTACTCAAAGGAGCGGAAAAATTATGTCCACACAAAGACTTGCACAGCGGCTTTATTCCTAATTCCCAAAACTTGGAACCTTTAGTAGGTTAATGGTTAAATAAACTGTGGTACATCCAGAAAATAGAATGTCATTCAGTGATAAACAGAAGTGAGCTATGGAGCCATAAAAAGATATAAAGGAAGCTTAGATGCGTATTACTAAGTAAAAGAAGTCAATATGAAAAGGCTACATACTGTATGACTCAAACTATATAATAATCTGGAAAAAGCAAAACTCTGAAGACAATAAAAAGATTAGTGGTTGCCAGGGGTTTGGAGAAGGATGAATAAATAGAACACAGAGGATTTTGGAAGCACTGAAACTACTTTGTATGATACTATAATGACGGATTCACGCCATTATACATTTGTCCTAACCTACAGAAGTTGAACAAGAATAAACTATCATCTAAACTGTGAACTCTAGATGATCATGAGGTGTCAGTATAGGTTCTTCAAGTACCAAATGGGGGTGCCTGGGTGGCTCAGTCAGTTAAGTGTCTGCCCTCAGCTCAGGTCATGATCCCCAGGGTCCTGGGATCCAACCCCAAGTCAGGTTTCTTGCTCAGCACGGAGTCTGCTTCCCCCTCTCCGTCTGCCCCGCCCCAACCCCACTTGTGCTCTCTCTCTCTCAAATATATAAAATCTTTAAAAAAATAAAACTTTTACTAGAAAAAGTGTACCAAATGTACCTGGTGGGGTATGTTGATAATGAACAGGGAGGCTGTGGGTATATGTGGGAAATCTCTGTACCTTCCTCTTGATTTTGCTGTAAACCTAAAACTCCTCTAAAGACATAAAGTCTTTAAAAAAAAGTTTCTGGCTCTGAAGCCAGACTGTCTAGACTATAAATAAATAAATAAATAACCCCTCATTACTCATCTTTTTCAAGTTTCCTGATATTCTTACTTTCCCATATGAGCATAAATTGTTTAAAATATATATTGGTAGGGCGCCTGGGTGGCTCAGTTGGTTAAGCGACTGCCTTCGGCTCAGGTCATGGTCCCGGAGTCCTGGGATCAAGTCCCACATCGGGCTCCCAGCTCAGCGGGGAGCCTGCTTCTCCCTCTGACCCTATCCCCTCTCATGCTGTCTCTCTCTTTCTCTCTCTCTCTCTCTCAAATAAATAAATTAAAAAAATAAATAAAAAAAGCTTTAAAAAATATATATATATTGGTATTTTTCTTGAGGCTGCATAAAATGCGTAAGTTAACTTAAGGAGTTCTGACACCTTTTTGATGTTGAGTCTTGCTTTCCTATAACACAGAATACCTTTCTATTTATTCAAATCAATGTTTCTGTCCTTCAGGATACTGAAAAGTTTTCCTCATGTGTATCATGCTCATTTCTTTTTTAGATTATTCCTAGGTATCTCATACTATTTTTGTGGCTATTAATTATATTTAAAAATTATAATATGTATATGATATAATTATGTTACACAGAAAATTAAAATATAAACAATTATATTTTAAGTATATACTTATTATATGTAAATGTGTTTTATATTATTGTTTACTTAAAATTGTTATTACACTTTCCCAATGCATCTTTCATCTATTTTTGTTTTAAATAAACAAAATTCTGTTGACTTCTGGATATTGACTGTGTACCTTTTTGAATTCTCTTCTATTTGTAATAGTTTTCAGTCTATAACAGGATGTTAAACTATGTCTCTCTCATTCTTAGTTTAGGAGAAGTCCTGAAGAAGAGCAAGACAACAGGGGCCACAAAACTCTGCATTCTCCCTGAATGAGAATGAGCGAGAACCCTGGCCATCTTTTTTTTTTTTTTTTTTTAAGATTTTATTTATTTGAGAGAGAGAGAGAGCACAAGTGGAGGGGAAGGGCAGACGGAGCAGGAGAAGCAGACTCCCCACTGAGCAGGGAACCCGAAATGGGGTTCGATCCCAGGACCCTGACACTTAACCAACTGAGCCACCAGGTACCCCGAGAACCCTGGCCATCTTATGTATCGTGCAAAAGGAGCTGGCTGCAAACTGATTTTGTGCCCTTGGATCCATTCAACATCTATTCTAAAGGTGTTTCAGAGATTGGAGAGTGTATGAGAGGAGGCTGTTTTTGAGAGAAAGATCTATTTTTGGAAAGCACTGGTATGCTCTGTAGTCCTCCTGCTTCACAGGGACAGAAAAGAGGGACCCCAGTGCCACAAGGGTTCCAAGCAGAATGTGATGGGAGGTCTTGGGAAAATTTGCCTTGTGTTCCAGAGTTTAGAAAGCACAGAGACTGGGGCCACAGTCCCTCTTCGAAGTAGCTATCATGGGCCCCACAGTAGGAGCTGGCCTGGGTCTGGTTTTATTCTAAGCCTACCAAAAGGATTTCCAGCTCTAGACAAGAGCTCCGTGGAGGACTGATGCCCAAAGCCTGAACATAGGAACTGTAAGCAGCCCTCTCCTTAGTAGTTGTGAACGTGCCCCAAGGCAATAGAGATCCAGCGTCCCTACAATTAAGATTTTTCTTCCCCTTTCATTTTGCTGCTCCCCACTTCCAAGTTGTCTAGTGAAACAGAGAAGGTTAGGAGAAGGAAAAAGAGAAGCAATCATCAAGCTTTCTCACTGGAAGCTTCTAGCTCGAGAAGCCAGGAGGTTAAACTTTTAAAACAAAAGTTTATGGCATCGATTAGTACAGTGAAACAGACATTCTAATTACTAAAATGAGACTGATTTTGTGACTGAAAGAAACCAGAGGACTGTTTATTTTCCAACTGTGACTGAAACACTTATCCATAGGCAGGAAATTAACTGGCCCAGAGAAGCTTGGTAGAAGTTATGGGGAAAAAATAAAGCAGTTGTTTCCTATGGAGTACTGGTTTTCTAAAGGATTTAGGGGGTAAAAAAGATTAAATAATACTGCTGATAGTGCCTTCTCCCTGATTTTACGGTGAATGCTTCTGGTATTTCACCATTAGGCATTAGGTGAGTTTTTTTGTTGTTGTTTTTATTTTTTTAAACTTTTAATACAGAAATCTCCAAACACACACAAGAGTA